CCCGCTCAAAATGGAGTCGGGCGTGCGTGGGGTGCCCGGGTGCTGCCTCTGTGCTGAAAAGTCTGTTCTCGCGTGGCGGGGCACGGAGGAGGGAGGGCTGCCCGCGGGAGAAGAGTTGATGTGAAATAGAAAATCCCAGCAACGCACCCTAAACTGAAGTAGCGTTTGGGGCGGCCTGACGTATTTGACAGGGTATCTGGTAGTCCCTGGGCTCTTCCAAAAGTCACTCGGGCCATTTTTCTAGGGAACAGTGTTGGTAGGAATCGCGTATGTATTTTAATAATAGATTGTGTGACTTCTCAGCGGTGTTTGTGTAACCCCATAAGACGTCCTGATACACGGGAAACTTTGTTGAAAAAAGTAATCAAGTATAAATAGGTAAAACGAGTAAGCTGTGGGCAGAGTGAGTAGTAGGACGCAGCTCTGCATGAGGAGGGATAGGTGTTGCGCACACATGTCAACCCGTGGCAGGCAGTTGCACCCCGCACAAACTTCAGCGCATGTCGAATTGGTCAGAACTCCGATTAAATTGGAATCCTTGAAAAGAATCGAAGTGTGGTGACAGCAGTTGGCGTGTGGGTGAGGAAGTAACTTGCTAACTGCAGTTTAAGCGATCTCTTCAGCAACGCGGCCAGTTCAGAAGAGCACAGTGCTGCATGAAAGCATCTTAATACTTTAGTGTTTACTGCAGTGAATGTTGCAAAATGATTCTTCGTGACATTTTATGCTTTTTAAGAAAGAAAAAGTTGTAAGATACTAGTTGTTTGAGAAAGTGGGCCTCCCAAATATTATTTGAAAACACCTTGTGACAAGCTTTGCTTATGGATCTTTTTGTACTTTAAAGCTTGAGAGTTTTTTCCCTGTGAGAAATGCAATAGTTTGTCCCGAGTGGCAGTTTACTAAGCCAGTGTCCTCTGGAAGTTGTACTCAGATACAGAATTATGGTCTTGTCCTGTGTGAAGTAAACCTGAAACATGGGCAGTGTCTTTGGCCAACATGAGAGAACTTGAAGGGTTTTCGGTAGGGCTAGCAGTCTGTGTTTACCTCTTGGTTTTCACATTTCATTTTCAAGAACAAGTGCTACTTTGCTATGAAAAAAGTCTTGGCTTATCATGGTAGCGAAACAGAGAAAGTCAGCCTGCTTTTGTAACAGTGTGTATGGAGCACCGTAGTAAATAAAGTGACTTTCCAGTTTGAAAATTTCTATTTTTTGTGGGGGGCAATAGTTCTAACATTATAAAGGTGTTGGATGCCATGGTAGTGATGGCATTTGTATCCAGTGTGAATGTATTGCAGTTTATTCTGCTACTCTATAAAGGTGCAGATTATTTGATTGTTGAATTACAGGTTCAAAGCTTTGTGATACTAAGAAAAAGAAATAACTTGTAGTTTTGGTTAGGCTTCACCAGGAACCAGGTTTTTCTAAGCTCAGGGTATTGAACTCAAAATTCAGAAGATGTGAATTATTCGTTCCAGTTCTGCAGTATACCTCCTGTGTGACATTGGCCAATGAAATGGTCGTCCTTAGCTTGAGAGTCCTTTTCAACATAAATGTTAGTGAGTTTAACCCCTGTGTTTCCTCAGAGAGTAAGGATTACTTAGCAAGCAATGTATGTCATGCAAACTCCATGTTAAATACAGCTTGTAAGGTAAGGAAGACATTGTTCGTTTGGGTGTGTTGGCTTGGATATCATTACAACTGTAACGTCTTTAGCCCCACCCAAATATGACATTGCTTGTTAGGCAGGAACTTATTTCTTTCAAAAAAAATTTAAATTGGCAGCTTTTAATTTAAAAGATAGTTCAGTTCACAGTTCTTAAGCCAGCCTCGGTGGTTTGCTTAGTGTTTTTTCCCTAAACATACTGGCAAGAAAATAGTATAACAAAGGAGTGATATGTTTGTCCAGATCTTTCTAAAGAAGAGTAAATGGGCCTTTCAGATGAGTGGGGGGAAAAAAAAACCACCTGTATTTAAGATCCTTCAGATGTCTTACTTAAAAAAACAAATGAAAAACAACACAACTTTCCGAAGGCATAGAGAGGGAGGGAAGAACGCTGGCCAGTTCAGTGGCACAGTTTATTCTTAAGCTATTTTAAGTAAGTGCACAGTGAGGTGAGTCTTTGTCAGAGAGCTTGTACTGGGCTGCAAGGATTGGTGTGGAGGAACACCCCAGTTAGTCACTGACCAGTGCCTACCGTACTGGGCTGCCTGCTCATCGGGATGCAAGTGACACCTGTCTGGGTAAGGGTGGCCCTTGTGCGAGAGCAGACTCTGCCCTGGATTGTACTGCTGGTCAAAAAAGTTTCCAAGAGTGCAGTGGGATGAAGCAGGGTGGCTGTCATAGGGCCTTGGGTCCAGCATGGTGATGCTGACTTCATTTTGGTGCACATCAAAATAAAACCCACTTGTTTGACCTGAAAAACACCTTTCAGAGGAAAAAAAAAAAAAAAATCTTGCTTATCTTGATCCTTCTTTGAAAGTTGACCCTATGATTTTAACATGGATTACTAATGTATTGTGTGCTCTGACAGGTTTTGTTTCCTACAATATTGTAAGAGTGTACACTTGTACAAAATACAGTTTGATTGAAATGCTGCGTAAAAATGTGAATATGAAGAGTCAAACGATCTACAGTGACCTTTTTATAAAGGTATAGTTTCTCAGGTTATCTAGTCACAAGGCTAGAAGAAAAGCTTCAATTCCAGCTTGCCTTCAATATTGTTTTACGGTGTTAAGAGTCAGTATCTCCCAGAGAAGCTCCACATTCTGTTGATCTGTCTTGCCTAATGTTTCAGGGATAAGACGTATTGGCAGGAGACCTGATCAGCAGCAGCAACAGCAACAGCAGGGTGAAGGCAAGCCTATTGACAGGAGACCGGAGAGACGACCTCCTCGTGAGCGCCGCTTTGACAAACCTGCTGATGAGAAAGGCGAAGGAGGAGAATTTTCTGTTGATAAGTAAGAATTTTGTCTTGCTTGACAACTTTCCTAGTTTTGGTAGGAAAGGGCTGTCCTGCTTCTGTTACTAGATTTAAAAAAAAAAAAAAAAGCCGATTGATTAAAAATGAATTGATTGAATTCAATTTTTGTCAGTGACAAGAAAATTGTATGTCATGTGGAATAGAACACTTTCCCCTGATTCTGTTTGCAAACTTGGTTCAAGTTACAGACTGGGAGTGATCTAACATTAATGGTTCCATTGGTTTAACTGAAAATACGGTTTAAACCAGTAAGATATTCAACCATCTCTCTCTCAATCTATAGCAGATGGGTCAGGAAAGGAACTCAAGTATAGCTGTTAGCTGCAGGATGAGATCTGTTTGCTGTTGCTTAAATCTGTACAGCTGACTTCAAGCCAATAGAAGTCCATGTAGGTGTTCGTACCTTGGCTGCAGGGACTTCAGATCTGGAAGTGGTGAAGCCATCTTATGTTTAGGCAAGTTTTAAAGTGTCTCAAGTATCATGTGGCATCCAGAATTCAAGTGTTCTGAAAGTAATGTTCAAATATTAAAATTCTAGTAGCCAAAGTTAAAATCCTTTTAAAAGTAAGTTGAATGAATGTGAGTTTAATTGAAATTGTAGTATCAACTAGTATGTAGCACAATACAAACAGTACATTTTGGAATTTAGTGCCAGAAGATGCAAATGAACAGTAATCCTTCTGAGCGTTTGTTTCCAAATCCTAAAATGCAGGCATTATATATTTGGGTTTTTTCAGTGTAATAATTTGGCATTGAGGTTAGAGCCTTGACACGGTTACAAACAGTAACTATCGCAAGAAAAGTAAGTAAATAAAATTCTCAAAAGAGAAAAAGAAAGCTTTAATAAAAACCATGCTGTAAATTTTTGGAGATGAAATACTCAAGTTTGACTGTTCATGCTAGACCCATTCTTGATCGGCCTATGCGTGGACGTGGTGGACTAGGAAGAGGACGTGGCCGTGGCCGTGGAATGGGCAGAGGAGATGGGTTTGACTCTCGTGGCAAACGTGAATTTGACAGACATAGTGGCAGCGATAGATCGTAAGTCTTTAACTTTTTCTATTCTTTTTATTATTATTCTTTACAATTAAAACACATTTTAAAATTTGCCTTTGAATTTCTGTATCTGGACACTATAATGTTAACTCAGTTTTGTTAGTTCTGTTTCACATTCACATTTCAGCGGCCTAAAGCACGAGGACAAGCGTGGTGGCAGTGGATCACACAACTGGGGAACCGTCAAAGACGAGCTAACGTTAGTAATCTGTAATTGCTCAGAGAACTATTAGCAGAATGTTAATAAATCCTAATTCTTACAGCTTGCAAAATTTAAAGATTTAGCTACCTTTCTTGCCTTTGATTTTTATAATTTTTGCTATGCTGTTAAAGCAGCCTTTGCAGAATTTAGAAAATTAGTGATTTCTTGTAATACAAGAGGCAGCTTTGCTGCTAAAACCAGAATTTTGGGGAAGCTTGGAATGGGGGATCTTGTGCTGGTTTCTAAACCATTCTTTTAGTAAAATAGAACAATTTAATTTTAACAATTTTGGTCAGGTTAAGCATGCTTTTTTATAAATATTACATTGAAAACATATTTTTAATACCCAGATCCATTTTGTGTCTCAAGTACAGCAGGAGGCTTTCAGAATGGTTGCTAGTTAAGTGTTGGGGAGGTGGAAAGCGTAAAAAAGGCAGAGAGGTCACCAATTCTTAATGAAGTAGTTGTTTTTAAAGAAGAGTGGGCTTTGTAAATCAACTATAGAACTTAGTCGTTAATCTTGCGTAGCTTTGAATAGGGATGAACTTTTAAAAAACAAAACTCCAAACATTATGTAATTGCAGTGAATTGGATCAGTCAGCTACAACTGAGGAAACGCCAGAGGGAGAGGAACATCCGCCTGCTGATTCTGAAAATAAGTGAGTACCACCCCTCTTAATGTTCTTTGATTGCTTCAAAGGTAGTATTACTTTGCCTTTAAGCTCTGATATTTATTCCTACTTCTGTTTTGCTAAACTTGGATTGTATTTTCTTCAGTAGATAGAAAATTCTCCACAGTGCTGCTGAAAAACTGTCTCTTTAAAAACTGCATGTCTAAAAATCGTTATCTTGAAACTGTTCATTCATGTCATGCAGGCTCTTAGGTCACTTTCGGATTTAGTTATTAATAATCAGTTCTAATACGCTTAGGGTCTCAGGATTGCAACTCCTAAGTACCAAATCTAAAAGCATCTGTGCTCATAACTGGGTAGAACCACCAAGCAAAAGGGACAAAATGTTCTTCTGCCAGCAGAAGGCAACTGTTTTTTAGATAGTTTTTCAAAACAACTGATGAGACTGTGTGACTAGCCTGTAGAGGAAAGGTTGTATCTTTCTCATTCTCCAGTTTCTGTGTATGCAGGCAATTTTCAAAGCAGTTAACTTGACTGCTTCTCGTTCCACTTGGACACTGTTACAGAAGAAACCAGTGACTGGATGAATGAAATAGAGTAACTAGAAAAGCAGAATGAGCAGTAGTGATACTTAACAGTTGATGTAAAAATGTGATGCAAATTTATGGTAGCGTAGCACAGTAAAATGTTTTATTTTAATGAGGAATGCGCTTTATGGTTAATCCAAAAGAAAATGGCAAACAGTTACGAGAGAATTTTGAAATACTTGTTTGCCCAAGATTTCTAATGTGGAATTTGCTAGAGCTTGATTTCCTCATCAATAACTTTGGCTAATAGTAAAGAGGTTACAATTACTGCATAGAGAATAAGAAATTGAATTTCTTACTAACTAAAAAAGACTAAATGCTATTACTTCTCCGGGGTTGTGGTGGTCCAAGGTTAAGGTCGTCTTGTACACAGAAACAGTATGAGAATTTTTAAGGAATTACAGCTTTGAGCATTGGTCAGAAGATGCAGACTAGCTAGTCCTTAAAAAAAATTACATGTATTGGAAATCTGGCTATATTAAATTTGTTGCATCTGCAGTGTTTCCTGGATCTTTATTAGTAGCCGTGTCCTGGTGCTTGACCAGATACTGACCCATCTGTGTGCAGATCAGTTATCTGCGAAATTCTGCAGGCTATCTGTATGTTTTTTCTTCTTCCTCAAATCTGCAGAAAATGTGTACTCTTCTCAGTTTCAAGCATAATGCATGTGTTGTAATCCATCAGTTATCTCTATAGAAAAGTATCTTTACATGTGTTAGTTTTCAAGTTGGCTAGTTTGGTGTAGACCTCTAACCTAAATGTTTCAGTGGAATTGTGGGATGTTTTACTGCAGTAAAATCTGCAGAATGCCAAGGGGTAATATCTTTGCCTTGAACAAAAAAAAAATGCTTCTGAATATATACCATGTCAAAAATCATTCTGTCCTACTGAATGAGGAAAAAATTGAAATACAGTAATTTTGCCGTAAAAGTTCTGCATTATTACATCAAAATTAATGGCTACAAAATGAAGATATTTCTGTTTAAGTTGAGGCTTTCATGATCTTTTTGCTGCACATACATGCAGCATTTATAGTTTTCTATAAATTAGAAATTTAGTTGCATAAACACACTGAAGAATGACTAGCGGATTGACTGCCTATGTAGATGGAACATGATCTGTTATTGAGCATAGTGGATGTGTGTTTTACTTAAAAATAGCTCTTTGGCAGAAGGTAGAGGCACCAAAGATTTACAGTGAGGTGATATATTGAACAAGTGACTAAGTTGTATGCTGTTTTTTCAAGTTAGCTGGAAGTAAAAATTGTTTCAATTGGCTGGGAAATAATTGTCTTTATTGAACCAAAGGAAGCAGACTATCCAAAGCTGATTAAATTATGTTTTGGGTTTTTTTAAAAAAATAACAAGCTTGAAAATTGTGGTAAGGCAGTGAGAGAGAGCTTGTTCTTAGCTCTCTCCCAAACGGTCAAGTTATCTCAAAAAGGGGAGCTCCAAAGAAGTCCATTGCAGAAGTTAGGCTTTCATATTTGTAAAGAAAATCGTCGTTAACATGGAGAATAGACAGAATGGGTCAGTGTTATTTTTTGCACATTTTGCTGTGCTCATCATTTAGTTGCCTAAAAGTGTCTGGCTAAAGGAGGCGAGTTCTCGTGTGCTTTCTGAGGTGTGGAAGTGAGGTTTTTTCTATACACCTCTTAACTGCTAAATACTTGACAAACTTTTTTTATAGTCTGATGTGGATTAACAACTGGTTTTGAATTTGTTGTATCTAGAATGAGAGTTCTAAGTCGTGATCATAATATTCCTGAATTTACTACAGAGAGAATGAGGTTGAAGAAGTTAAGGAAGAAGGTCCTAAGGAAATGACCCTGGATGAGTGGAAAGCTATTCAAAGTAAGGATCGTGCAAAAGTTGAGTTCAACATCCGTAAACCAAATGAGGGTGCTGATGGGCAATGGAAAAAAGGATTTGTTCTTCACAAGTCAAAGAGCGAGGAGGTAAAGTGATTTTTCTATATTTGCTAGTATCCAGATTGTATAGGTTTTTCTATTGGTACACTTCTTGGAGGTGAAGTTCCATTCTTTGAGATGCTGACCTGTCGCTAAAATTTTATGAAGTGGGAGCAACATTTCTCTTAATAAAACTGAAGTTATGCAGTAGCGTAAGTAACCATTCTTACTGTATTGAGTTTTAGCAGTTGATCTGTATCCTTAGGCTGGTGTATACTGTGATATAATCTAGAGATGAGACTGGAATACTGCTGTATCTGGGCAGGTAACTTTGTAAGGACTGTCTCTTGGCGAGCATTTTAGAGAAAGTTTGTCAATATCAAATTCATTTCTTTGCTCTTTATGCAGTACACAGATTTATGGTGCTTGCTAAATATGATGTAAGATTGAAGAAATATTGGTTGTGCTTTAAACACCTTAATACCTAAACTGTGTATCTTAAGTTTGTAACGTGGTGTTCTTCTCATTTTGTAGTATTACATAGACAAGCGTCCTTGAAGCTTTTGAGAAACAGGGTGAAATACATTTGTATGCTTCGGTGATGCTCAACATAGTTGCTGCAGAATTATTTCAAAATTGTAGTTTCTCAAGCATGCTCATTTCAGGCATTGCAAAATTTTAATTATTCTTTTCCAAGATAGTGAGAGTGGCAAGGAGAGACATACTCCTTCACTTCAGAAGGGAGGGAAGTGCTAAGAGCTCTGTTTTCTAAGGCAAGGCTGCGTTAATCTTTGGTTTTAATATTTCTTTTTAACACTAATATCTTAAGCGGCCCACTGTTAATCGGTGGCCCGCAACTTCATATACCTGATGGTTCTGACTTCCTTTGAAGCAGTTAAATAGTATGGAATATGCTGTTCGGTCTTGTAATATGTATCTCTGCTTTTTCACACTTTGTCTTTTCTTGTGAGCTGGGGACATAATACAGATTAGGAGGCACTATTCAGTACTTTCCAATGAAAACTCCATTTCTAATCTCATTGAACTCAGAATGAGTTTGATTTTGTCACAGTCATGTTATTTTCTTATCTTGCTGTGTAAAGGTAGTTCTTTAAATGATTGCCTATCTTTTTATTTACCTTAAGCTGTTCGGTGTTTGAAGTGTTTGTTAAATACTGTGTTCTCTGGCTTGATTAGAAAAGGGAAACTGAGTTAGACGTTATGTTGCTGTGTATTAAAAAAGTAGATTTAAACAGGAATATCTGTGTACTTTACAAAGATTTACTAAAACGGTAGTCCTGCAAGTCCACCCAGCCCCAATTGCTCTGAAGCAGATTTGTTTGACATTTAGTCAGCTGAGGGCAGTCTTCTTTAACTGTAACATGTATGATAAGTCTGATGATGGCTTGTATCAGGAATAGTGTGGCCAGCAGGAGTAGGGAAGTGATCGTGTCCCTGTACTCGGTGCTGGTGAGGCCACACCTTGAATACTGTGTTCAGTTTTGGGCCCCTCACTACAGGAAAGATGTTGCATTGCTGGAACATGTCCAGAGGAGAGCCACAAAGCTGGTGAGGGGTCTGGAGCACAAGTCTTACGAGGAGTGGCTGAGGGAACTGGGGTTGTTTAGTCTGGAGAAGAGGAGGCTGAGGGGAGTTCTTATCGCCCTCTACAACTGCCTGAAAGGAGGCTGTAGCGAGGTGGGGGTCGGCCTCTTCTCCCTGGTAACGGTTGATAGGACGAGGGGGAATGGTTTGAAGTTGTGCCAGGGCGGGTTTAGGTTGGACATTAGGAAAAATGACTTCACAGAAGGGGTTGTCAGGCTCTGGAATGGGCTGCCCAGAGAGGTGGTTGAGTCCCCATCCCTGGAGGTATTTAAAAGAAGGGTAGATGAGGGGCTTAGGGACGTGGCTCAGTGGTGGGATGGCAGGGTTGTGTTAACGGTTGGACTTGATGATCTTAAAGGTCTTTTCCAACCTAGATGATTCTATGGTTCTATGATGGTGATACTCTTGAGTAATTTAGAAGCTGGGAAGATCCATGCTGTATCTTCCATTGAAAAAATGGATCAGTAGTTAACTCAGGAAAAACCCAAACAAAACCAATGAGAATAACTAATCAAAACACTTTCATGGAAGAACTGACATAATTAGATTATTTTATTTGAGAGGTGCATTCAGGTAACTTCTCTTCAAAGAAATGAGTTGGATTTTTTTTTTTAAGACAATCATGTAAGAATTTAACACCTCCTTGCTGTATAAGCACAGAAGTGAGATACTAACAAAACTGCCTTTACTTCTAGATGCTTTTAGCTTGCTTTTATTGTATGTCCAGTAGATGTCTCTCCCCATTTCACTTATTCATTGTTCACTGATCGCTTGGGAAGCAGCATGGAGTGGTTTTTTTGCAAAGTATTATAGCAGAATAGCTCTGTAGTACAGGTGTTAGGAAAGCCTTCACTGCAACTCCTTTGTGAGCAGGTTTAGAAGGTGGAATGTTTAGAGGTTATGAACAAAACCTGCCAATCGCCTGCTGTTCTTTTACCATTTGTCGTCTCGGACATAGTTATGAGTCATGAAATGAAGCTTGATGTAAAGTTTCTGTGATTCTTATTGATAAGAAGGAAGCTTATGTGTGGAAGTGACTTGGTTTATAGGTAAATTCTGGTTTTCAGCCCCAGATCTTCTGTATACTCTTATGGCTGAAAAATCACAATGTGCCCCGGTAGATTTTCTCAGAAATTTGAAGTGTTGTGATGACCACCCTTGTTCCTTTAGCTTGAGAACTACTGGGAGAATGCCCTAGGAGTCTGTGGGCAAAGGGAGTATGAGGCTCTAGTACTGTTCATCTGCCTTAGTCTTGTGAAAGAGCTGTCGTCCTCCTCTTACTTGTGCTCTTTACTAAGGGGTGAAACGCTTGACACTATCCGAGGTCTTTCCTCTTTTTCACATTTTCTCTGCAATTACTCGGAAGTGATACTTTGTATAAAATGAACTCTCAATACTGTCTCAGATTCTTGCCTGTTTAATATGAAATCTGTGTGTATTGGCAGCCCTAGTCTAATGAGACTCTTTCCAGGAGATTGGGTTATGCCATAAAGTAGAGATCCTCTTTTTTTCCTTCTCTGCAGGTGGTTTAGTGGCTTGAGTCTTTTAAGTTCTACTGGTGCAGCTGAGCAAAAAATGGGAAGGAGTTACATTGTGGAGAGATCTTAAAATTTGTTCAAAAAGCTGGATGCAAGTCTCCTGGGGAAAGATTGATGCACCAGTAGATCAGTCCCTGCTCTTTCTTATCTGCTGTGCTGTGCCATGCCTCTTTCCTGTGCCTTCAAACTTTCTTGCTAATCTTATCACTTCCTTAGAGGAGGTTGCAATGGGAGACTGAGAAACACATTTCAGAAAATCAGAGTTCATCTTCTCAAAACTTAGAGGAATGACTCTTGAATCGAGGCTGTGCAGAAACCTTTTCTCATTAACAGTAATTTTCAACATTCCCCCCTCTTATCTGTCTAGTTCTGTATGCAGTGTGCCTGATGTATTGAGGGCTAGAGATCAGCCTGCATGCGTGGTCTCTACTAAAGCTTCCAGGAACTTGTGTTAAACTTTTTTTTATCGATCTGAGATTTCTCTTGTCTCCACACCTGTAGTATAGTCCATCCTCTAGTCTTTCTGGATGCTTGCACAGCTGTTGATCTCATCCTTCTGCTGCTTCGTGTGCTCAGTGACATCTGTATCCGGCAAATTCATGTGACCTTATTACCTGTTGTTTCTGTATGTAGTTGAGTCTCATTTCTTCCTTTTGTTTTCTCCCTTTGTTCCTTTTGTCACTTTGGCGTGGACACGCAACTTTCATCAGACAAAGGCGATGACAGAAATGCAGGGGAGTCTGCTGGAGTCAAATGAGGTACTGATCCTTTATATCTAAGTGGTAATACCTGTGTTTTGATATGACCCCCTTCTGAAATTAAGGTCTGGATATTAAGAAGTCACAAAAATTTAGAACACAAGTATATACAAGATGGAGCTCTTCTGTCCATGCCTGTTGTCTAACTGCACACCATAGGAGACCCTTCATAACTGGTACCCTCACTTCTAATTGAGCTGAATTCAAACCTTATCATAAATGCTTCTATCATGAGTCCTTTTATTTTTTTGTTGCTGTTGTTTTTCCATATCTCACTGTCTGCTTTGGCCCCCTTTCTGTTAGCAGCTTGTTCTTAATTTTTGACAGCCTTCCCCAAGACCCATAAGTGCAGCAATGCCTTTGAGAAGCTATCGGTTATTAGATCGGAGCACTGTTGAGAGTTACCAATACATCTAAATACTTCCAAAGGTTATTCAGAATAAGCAATTTGTATCGTATGTCTTGACTGTTGTCATCCAAGTATCTGATAGAATATGAGGAGAACATGCCAAGTTTTTTATTAGCATTTTAAATTAGCTTTAGTTATTTTGGATAAAGAAAACATCAGGTTACATACAGAATTCTCTATTTGTTGGGTTTAGTGGTTAAACCAAAGTTAAGTTGTGAAAATATGATGGTTGTGGTAGACTGTAGTGTTTCTTTTTTAAGCAATAACAGTATAGGGAAGGAAATGCACAGAATTATTGTACAAAGCCACTGATAATACCTCTCAGAAAAGAGAATGTCGTACAACTACCAATAAGGGGAAAATACCATCTCAGTACCCTGCAGCAGTCAAAACTGTAGATAAAATATTAAGTAGTAGGAAAGGAGTCAAAACCATAATTAAAGGTATTTTGTACGGTTTTGCAAATTGTTGGTGTACTTAACATTTGATTGGTGCCATGTCAGGCCAAGTTGTGGAATGACTTTTCTCCGAAAAATAACTGCTTAGGCTAACTTCTTAGGTTTGGAAAAGGGATCTCCGAGGGAAGTGTGTACAATTCAAATCTCTAAAATCAGGAGTGGGATGGGGACCAGTTGTTACATGGAATACATATCAAGGAAATATGTTTGAAATAAAGCAGCATGGAGAGGTATTTTTCATTGTGACTAATGAAATTGCAGTACCTTCCACTGTGGGATGTTTTAGAGGCCAAATGTACAGCCGGGCACAGAAAAGGGTAATTAGATCGGGGAGGGGAGAAGGCTCTTCGTGGCCCTGTACATTCTGGTGCTTGTGACTGACTCAAGGAATCCCTGAAAGCAGCTTTTAGCCTTTTGACTGCGGACGTCTGTGTATCTACTGGCTGCCTTATGAATGGTAATTAAAGGGTATAGGGCTTAACTGCACAATATGTTGCCTTTGAAACAAGTCAGCATATTGTGTAATTATACCACAAGAAAAGTTACAGTCAGTAGGCTTAAGCATGCACGTGACACTTTTGTAAGAAAAAAAACAGTAAAATGAAAATTGCTGTGCCAGAAATTAGGTGGTTATAGGAAAAGAAAGAGTTGTATGTTACTGTGTTTCCAGACCATGGTGATTGGGCCTTGCAAGAGGCAGAGTGCTGGACTAGATAAACCCTTGGTCTGATCCAGTGATCCAGTGTGGTCAGTTTTACATTTTGTGTATCATCATAGGTGCCAAAAACTGACTTACCGCATGGAAAAATTATTTGTGCAAAAGAGGAAAAATAATTAAAGACTCTTGATTCTTTTTGTGTTCAGTGTGTAATAATTTGAAATACGCAAATGTGCTGAGCAGTAGTATTTATGGTGTTAGACGTAACTCTTCGACCCGTAGTACCTCTGCTCCTCGAGGCTCAGGTTTCTAACTGGGAACCAACCAGCTGTGAGAGATTGTTGTATCGTGGCAAAGGTGGTGACAGTCATATTTTTCAGTGTCATTGGTGAGGCTGGTTCTCTGTTTCAGCATTAATGTTTTAGCTACTTCGGTTACATTGTGTTTGAACTGTTTATGCCTCGTTTGTGTTTGTTATGGCTAATACAAACCAGTAGGGGATTCTCACCATCTCCCTTGTTTTAAATATTTATACAGGGCTAAGCAAATGAGAAAGTGTAAAGTACTCATTGAGCAAAATAAAGATGGGTTACCAAGTAAGTATTTTAAAAGAATGAAATTAATTGATAGAACCTGAAGATTTCTCAGGATACGAAGTGAGAAGAAGAAAAATGCTAGAATGCTGTACTGGCTTGGTGGTAGTCTGTTTGGTCTCAGATAAGCCTAAACGTGTTCCTCTGAAGGAATGGTACTCCAGAGCTTCCCTGAATTATCTTGGAAATGCAAAATACTTCTGTTTGCTCAAGCGCTTATTTGATTACCTATTTGTGGTTTTGTTGTCTGCACAAGTGGTATAACTTGATTCCTAACAATTCCTGCACTGTCTTTTAACTTGACTCAATCAAGGTAATCAATCATCAATTTGGGAGTGCATTTGGAGGTGAACACGCATGCTGTGGTGGTAAGAATGCAACTAGAGATGAAAAAGCTTCCTTGGTGATTTTTCTTACTTATGGAGAAACACTCATTTCAGGCTCATGCTGAGGACTCTGTAATGGATCATCACTTCCGCAAGCCAGCAAATGATATTACATCCCAGCTGGAGATCAACTTTGGAGACCTTGGCCGCCCCGGACGTGGTGGCAGAGGGGGACGGGGTGGCCGAGGGCGTGGTGGCAGGGCCAGCCGTGGAGGCAGAACTGACAAGGTAAGTTGCTACAGCTTTCATCCGCAGAGGAGTTTGGTTTCAGTTGTTAGGATTTTAATACAGATAGGTTTAGGTGTCTTCCTTATGTCTGAGTTGCTCTGACAACAAACACCGCATTTTAAAACTAAGTAACGTGTCTATTCTTACAAGTTTACTTTAAACTGCGCTACTGTTAGGACAAAAGGGTGAATGCTATAGCAGTGTTCTTATTAAACACAAAAAAGAGAGGGTGGGGAGTAGGTTGGAGTGTAAAAAAAAAAAAAAAAAAAAAAAAGTCTGTCTTTGAAGGTTCTATCTGAACCCCAAAAAAATGACTCTTCAGTATGGACAGATGTGAATATAGTATGAGATGCTTCTGTTTGTGCCAGAGCAGAACCACAAGTGTTAGAGCAGTTATTTTCAGACACTGTCAGGATGGTGTTATCTGCACTGTGACCTGTTGGGGATGAAAGACTGGTTTTATGGCTGCATGTTGTATCTTGGGTTTGAGGAATTTAGAGTTTTCATGTAGAAATAGGACTCTTACTTGTGGGGTTTTTGTTGTTTTGGGGTTGTTTTTTCTCTGCAGTAATTTTTTTCTTCCTCTAGTCCTAGAACCCTAAGGAAATACTCAGGACTAAGTACTGAATGGGGCTGGGGAGAGAACATGTGAAGTTGGAAGTACTGTAGTATACCTACAGTAAAGATTTGATTTATTATGGATAATTTTTTTGGCTTAAATGCATCTAATCAAATTGTTACTCACTGTAAGTTAGTTCAGTCTGTGGTACGGCTTGCTTCACATAGATCAGACTTGCTTATTTTTGTTTCGTGTAGGACACTGACTTTTTCTCTTTTACACTGGATCACTAAGTTTTAAGCTTGTCGAAAAACTCTATCCTGATACCAGTATAAGAAAATTTTAAGGAATTGATATTAAACGGTGGTGGTGTTCGCTCTTGAGTTGTTCTGCTAATATGGCATCTTGCTTCCTCAAGAATGCTGTCATAAAGTAGTTAAAAACAGATCTGCAGCTTATTTTATGTTGACTTTGTTTATTTCCTTCCAGTTGGTTAAGGAGTTTGACGTGATCCACACACCCAACCAGGTTGGTGGTCTCTGATGGCACTTAATGTTACTTATGTGAACAAGGCCCTCCTGTTGCAGGGACTGTAACTCCCCTCCTGCAGTCGATTGGCTTTTTTGGCTTGCTTTCTGCTTTTGTGTAATGAGCAACTGGAGATACTAAGGCTTAAGACCCTGCTGTTTTTAACTCTAGTTTGTGGGCTGGGTACTTCTGCAGTGTCTTAATCTTGCCTGTAGAGGTTGGTACAACTTTTATTGGAATGGTTTAAATATATGTTTGTCTTGATAAGTGAATATATTTATAGGAAATTGCACTGTCCTGGTCCTTCCTACTCTCCTCTTCCACATCCCTCATGGAAGTACTCTAAAATGCTTCATTTCTGCATTTCATCATAGCACTGTTTTTTAGGTGTGGTACAGAGCCTTTTAAAAGAAACTCCGTTAGGGAAGTACTGAGGAGATTCTTGGTTAATGTGTATGAATTTCCTGGGCTAGGTTGGCACAAAAATTCTTTTTATCAGCAGCTAGTTTGTGACTGAGTTTAAATGTCTGAAACTTAATTTGTGCTACAAACAGGTCTTTTCTGTAACACTTAGTCATGTCCCTTAGTAAGAATTGATGGCTATGTGCTAGTAGAATAGCATAAACCCACATGTAGGGATTGCTTTAAGAATGGAAAAAGAGATGTACTTGTAACCTTGTGCAATGATCATGTGCAAACAAGTCTGTTTGCCTATAATACCTCTTCAGATAGCTTTGATTCAAAAAGTACTGTAGGAGGCTTTCTAGTCCTTGGACTAAGAAAAAAAGTGTTGCTTATCACGAGGGAAAAAAGTTGCTCTTGTAGCAATTTGTTCAGTACTAGACTGCTTACTCCACTGTAGTGCGTACCTCTCTGAAACCCAGTATTTCCCTGTTAAATATGGTTCATGTTAAAGTAGTTTTCAAAAGGAAGAATTCCTGCCTCTGTTTGTCTGGGGTGCAGGGAGTCCCCCTGCCTGCAGCTGCTCTGTGCAAGTGTCCTGTGCGAGCTCAGCTGTGGGCTGAGCTGTGTTTGCCTGGCAAATGGAAGGACTTGGTAATGTGTGAAGAATTAGCAACACAGCAGGGCTCAGTGCCGCTGAGGGTAATAACTTTCTGATGTTTCTCTTTCAGTCAAGTGCTTCTGCTCCTGATGTAGATGACCCAGAGGCTTTCCCAGCTCTGTCCTAAACTGGATGTCATAAGCCAACCCTGCCCTCGTCGGGCCTTCCTCTCCGAGGCTTGCATGCTTAAGGATCCTAAACAACTACGAAATTTAAAAAAAAAAAAAAAAAAAGAGACTGTCATTCATACCATTCACACCTAAAGACTGAATTTTATCTGTTTTGAAAATGAACTTCTCTCGCTACACAGAAGCAACAATATGGTAGTCAGTTTTGTATTTAGAAATGTAATGGTAGCAGGGATGTTTTCATAATTTTTTCAGAGATTATGCATTCTTCATGGATACTTTTTTGTATTGCTGCTTGAAAATATGCGTTTCCAAACTTGAAATATAGGTGTGAACAGTGTGTACCAGTTAAAAGCTTTCACTTCATTTGTGGTTTTTTTTTAATTCAGGATTTTAGACATTTTCCTCAAACTACAAACTGGGTTTTAATTATTGCACACTATTTCCGTTTCCTTAATTCCTGTTTAGCAGATTTTTATCAGCCCGTGGTCTTTTGGAATATGTGAAGTTTTAATTTGGCAGACTGTTAGTGCTGTGTGGAATACTAACTCCTGGAGTACTTTAGTTTTAATGCTTAATTTCAGACTTGGAAAAACAGTCATTTTTCATCTATGTTTGGTAGTTTGTTTACACAAAATCTTTATACAAAATTGATACCAGATACTTGAAAAAGATTCAAAGCACATTGGTTTATAGTTAAATACCTGTGTATTGATCCAGCAGTGATGTGTGGATAATCGGTCTAAACAGTTTTTTAAAATTAATGTATTACACCTTTCACTCACCCTTTTTACCTTTATTCCCTCCTCTTCCCTTCAACAAAACAAGATGCTTTCTTGGCCAAAAAAAAAAAAAAATATGTTTTTAAATTACCTACACTTTTTGTTTGAGAGGGTGCCCTGTAGATTGGAGTAACCTTTCCTGTTGTTGGAGCTGGGAGGTGGGGGAAGGTGGTAGCTGTTGCTCCGGTAGTCCGTCCGGACTCCAGCTGGGATGTGGAATTTAGCAGCACAGTTTGTTAGACACGAGTATGTCAATACCTGCTGCATTCGCAGCACTGCACTGATGGTGGCAGGTCTGAAGAAGAAACCACAGGCCTTGGCTGGGTCTGGCAGGAGGGAGTTCTGCCTTACCGTTTCAGACAGGGATGTTGCAATCTGTGTGCAATACAGCAGAAAGATGCAAAACAAAACCCCAACGCTTAACCTCTCTGTCAAAGTTTTGTTCTGGATTTGTGCAGGGTTTGAGATCCAATTGCTAGCTGACAAATGAATGTTTTTCAGAGTGTGATTGTAAGAAACCCTTTCTACCCCCATAGAAATTTGCCATAGGTTTAATTTAATCCCTGTGAACAGGATTACCACTTCAGTACACAAAAGGAGTTGAGAGAATGACGCATGAAGAGGGTTTCTTAGGGTTTTTGTCTGCAGCATTTGTTAGGAGAGTAGAAACAGGTTTCTCATTTTATTTAATGTTTTACTCTTTGGACAGCTTATAACATATTTGTAGTTTCTTAACTAGGTAGATAGAAAACAAAAGGTAATGCCCTATTTTTTTAAAAGCTGTACAGGACAGGCAAAAAGTATCGGAGACCTTTGAATATGAAGTATCAAACTCCTTAATTGTGGTGTTTAGCTGGCTTGCTTTATCTGAACTATTTTCTACAGAAGTTTTTGTTGTAAACCACTGTTAATATCATTGGATTAGACTTTAGTGCACTCACCTATAGTTTAAAGTTCCAGGCTGTGAGAAGGAGGCAAGTTTTCAAACAGTGGATGGTAAAATCTCTTGGTTCCTTTCTCCTGACTCTAAGCAGATCTTACACAGGTGCTCAGTGTGGGGGCTGTTGGAGGTCCAGCACTGAGTTGTTCCTCTTCCCTCTGCCTTTGTGGTTTGGTAGAATGTGTTGCAGCTTCAGCGTTGGGGACAGCTTGGATAATGCAGTTAAATGAATGCCTTGATATGCAGAAACACACTTGCGGAAAAGCTTTCTCTGTAACATTAACCGTGCTCCCCTTATCCAAACTGTATATTTGCTGCTTCCAAGTTGCCACTCAGCTTTTTTTCCAGATGACTTCTGGGCTAGCCAGTCAGTTGTTTGGGGCCCTGCTAGCTGGACTTGGTCAGAACCTTTTCCTTCTCCTGCTTTAGAGCACAGAGCAGTTTCCTGAATGGCATCTCACATAGGATTTTCAAGACGGCTTGTACTTGCAGTTGGTCCGTCTGCTGTTCTGACAGATGTAAATTTGCCTCTTTCAGTCCATTTGTGTCAAGAGCTAAAACTGTGAACATATATCTTTAATATTGGTGGGTGTTAACTGAAATAAAGGTTTATTTTCATGCTCTTTTAAAAATGTCATGAAAACACATGGAGATGAAACCACTTAGATGAATAGCATCTCATGTAGGTTTTGCCCCAAGTGGTCCAGTCTGCCTGTAGCGATGGTGCCCAGGCATTTCCATTGCCAGGAACGGACTTTGCCTTGGGAAAATGTCTCCCTAGTAGCCTATTTAAAATTAATGAGCTTGCTCTTTAGTAACACTTTCTGTCCTCTTGCTTGCTACTTTTGCTGTCATGCCAAATCCAGAGGACTAGACCTTTTAAAATCTGAAAAATTTGAAAAAGATGGTCAGCAGAAAAAGTTGGAGAGAAACAGAGAAGTACAGGGTGCTAATTGGCTTTAGAATGTAATGATGGCAAGGTTTGAGCATGAAAGTTCATCTTACAGAGTGAATGCCGCTGATGCTGGGAGGAAACAAGACTGATGAATAAATGCAAGTGTTAGCTGTGTGGGAAAGGGCATAAATTCTTCTGAAACATCAGAAGTCAGTGTGAATATATGGTGTTTGCAGCTCAAGGAGTTGAGATCACTCTTACCTGTAATGACTCTTTGCCCATGGACATTGGTTTGCATAGCCATGTCTCTTGTTTTAATAAACGCAGGACATCTGCCTAAAGCTGACACTTCCAGCATTTGCTAACCTGCTTCTTTTCTAAAATCGTTACAAGGACCGTGTTACCTTCATTTTGTACTTCCGTTCTGGTCTGCCTTTGCCAGGTAACAGCCTCCTGGCCAGGCTCAGGGTGTGTTTGAGCAAGTGCCGAGTGCCCCGATGCAGTCGTCGGCAAATCCCCCGCTGCGCTGGGTGCTGTGCTAGAAAAGCCAAATGTAGTATTCTCCCTGGGGGGGTGTAAGCTGGCTGTGGGGAAAATGGCTCATTTGCCCTCACTGGGAGACTTTCAGGTAGAAGTTATGAAAGCTCGGTTGTTGTCTTACTGATGATGCTGTTTGTCTCTTGAAGTTGGAGTAAGACTTTGTGTGAAGCCCCACAGGGCAATTTACCTAGAGACTTGAAGAGCCAGGAGGAAATGTGGTCTAGTGTTCTGTTGTCCATACGTTGAAGATCAATATGCAGAAATAAGTGAATGACAAAATAGTGCTCTTTTTGCCTTTTTTAAATAACTTTTTTTGGCAATGGGAATCTAATTTGGTTGTGTGCAGCTGACTTGAGGGACTGATTTGTCTGTGATGCCCAGCCAGAATCCTCTTGGCGGGGTGGTTGCCAGATTGTGTATGAAGAGCACAAAAATGGAGTTCTGTTGCCTTGGATGTCTGGCCCAAGTTCAAGTGAAATGTTTGCCTTTGAGTGACACCAAGCCAGTCTTCAAGGCGGGGAATGTCTGTGTACCAGACTGGAGACCAAGCCTTGGAACCAGCCGCTAGACCCAAAAACCAAAATGCCAGAGCTGGTACTTTGCAAAAAATGTTGCACACTTTGTGTAGCGGATGGTGTGGGTGGCTTTGTGCAGACATGGAGAACGGTGCTTCACTGCCTTGCCAGTGACTGGTCTGGGTGTAGTTTGTCTCCCTTATGTACGTTACTTTCACAAGTGAAATGCCTGGCAGTGAAAAATGCAGTGCAAGAGGAGGACATAGACTAACAAAGCTATTCTCACTTTCTGAGCTCTTACTGAGAAAGCGGCCTTGGGTTTGCTCCTAGCAGTGAAGTGCAGTGGTGGTTGCCCCCGCTTTGCTGGGCTGTGTGGCTGGAGCCCACGGGCTGGTTGCTTCTCCTCCAGGACTGGAGCTTGCAGGGCTGCAGGGGTTAATGCACCTTGGCTCAAGTTGGAGGGCACACAGAACTGCCTGTGGTCAGGTGTTTCTGGCAGATGGGTTGGAGCATGCTGTTGCTTCATTCCCTGGAAGAGAGAAAGCAAGTAGGAGCTTACAGATTGGGTTTGTGGTTTGGTTTTTGGTGTTTTGGTTTTTTTTTTTTTTATATTTCAGGAGTGATTACAACTTCAAAATAAGAAAATAAATGCGAGGACTTGAGGTGTGCTACGTGGCTATCACCTGTATGCAGTGTCTCAGCTCTGGGTAGTTGTACAGCTGTTGATGTGTCTTCCATTTTGGCAGGGAGCATTGAGCCTGTTGGTTTGCAGGGGTGCACTGCAGGAGAGGAGGTGAGCTGGGCCAGCGCTGATGCCCGTGTGTGGACAGTTCAGTGAGAGCTGAGGCTGCGTCGGTTTGTGTTGGCTTGCTGCCCGACGGATTGAGCTTGTCTGTAGTTGCTGATGAGTGTGTTTGATTTTCACCTGTGAGGCACTGCTGTAAAGGTCGTCATACCAGTAAGAGGTGAAGGTACTTAAAATAAAGTTACTGGACGGAATGAAGGTAAATTGGATATGGGATTGGGTTTACTGAAATCTTTCAATTCAGCAATTTGAATTAGCACACGCCCAGCATGCCCAGTTGTGTTTGTGATTTGTACTGGACAAACTGCAGGATTTCTGTTGCCTTGTATGAAGGACAGTGAAAAGTCTTGCTTCTGTCCTTTCTCCTAAGAAAGTGCCTGAAGGTCTGTCTGGCTCAGCGAGGTTGCGTGGCCCCTGCAGGGGAGCGGTGCAGAGCGGGAGGGAAGCACGTCGGGACAAGATGGCCATTGCTACTTACGTGCTTTTTTGTGCAGCGCTTCCTTTTAACAGTGAACCACTGTTTACCTTTGTCAGACTTCCATGAAGATGCTAAAAGGGGCAGCTGCTCTGCAGATCACTTGTGGACTGCTGTTAAGAGCTGTTTTCACGTGGAAGTCCATCTTCCCCTGCTGTCCTGTCTGAGCAGCTCCATGTCCGAGTTGTGACCTGGACTATGGAGGTCCTGGGCCGGTTTGGAGGTGGCAGTGAGGATGCAAACAAGTCCCAGGATTGAAATACTATCCCAAAATACAACTCAAAACTAAATTTTTGGTAATGGCATGAGTAGGGCTGCACTGCAGAGCTGCTGCAAAGCCTCCTTGCAGGTGGTTTTATTGGGAGCCTGCACATCAAAAAATCCTGTCAGCTATGACACCTCTATTGAAAGTGTGGGAGGAAGGGGGGGGGGGACGGGGCGTAGATTGCTTGCACTGGTGCCATGGCGAGGCAGATGGCGTGCTGTGTCTTGTCTCTGGAGCGACAGGCTGTGTCATGTGCATTTACTGGCGCATCTGGGAATTGTTTTCCTTCAGTGCACAATTTCTGCCGTGAATGTGGTCAGCTCACGTGAAGTGGTTGGGCAGTACGGGTAAGTATTCTCTTCCTCCAGTGATGGCAGAGTTACCTGACAGGAAGAATTTAAGTCTTGCCGCAGCCATAATGCGCAAAGGATCCCTTGGCATGTCTGGGGGCAGTCGTGGGCAGCGTCCTGCCGCAGGCACCGCGCTCCCTGTGCTGGCGTGGCGGGGAATGGCTGTCGTGCGCACCCAGCGCAGGCGAGCTGTGAGGACGTGCATCTCGGAAGCGGTCTCTGTGCTGCAGAGGAGCCCTCAGCTGCACGCTGCGAGATCGCCGGACTGCGGCACGTCGGAGCTGTTGCCTCTAGTGCTGCTCCTCCTGCTCCCTTCCTCGCAACGTTTCCCCTCTGCTTTGGGAAAGCAGTTTCCTGGGCAGTAGCTGTCTTCAGCCTCTTTCTCTACCTTGGTTCCTTATCCCTGAGAAGCGACTTTTATGGTACTGTCATGCCCCCAGCTTTGATTGCAGGCTCCAGCTACTGAGGGTGTCTTGGCCAGGCAGCGAGGCCAGGCCATCTGGGGGGTTTGTGGGTGTCCAGCAAGTGGTGTGCTGGAGCCCGGGGGCTGCTCAGGCAGCCGAGCTACTCTGCCTTTACCAGGACGCATCTCCTTCCTAGGAATAGATGCATCTGTGAGCTAGCAACAGCTACATCATTGCTGGTGGTTTTATGTTGTTTTCGATAGACCGAAACAGAAGACTGGAATGCTAAGGTTTGAGAAGAGCCAGGGTGCTTGTGATCACTCGTGCTGATCAAATGCTCTGGGCATTGCAGGGAAGTGCAGAGAGATGTCACTGAGAACTGAACGCGAGGAGAGCTGGTGCCAGGGTTTGAATTTCACGTTCCTAAGAAACCTTAAAACCCAGTGCACACAAGTATTTTCATTGACTCCCACCCACTGCAGAGGTGGTGTCACAGTCTGGATGGAGGTACAGACCACGGCAAGCCAAGTGGTGTGAATAACCCCAGCCTGTCTGGCGCTGGCTCGGAGGGCAGCGTGTGCCCGGTTATTAAGTCACGGGCTTGTCCTGCAGTGCCTTTCAGCTCGGCAGCACAGGAACTTACGAGCTCCTGTAGAAGGTAACATAGCAGAGCTGGGGGAACGAGCCAACAGAGATCTCCCTAACCCAGCACTCCCGTGTTGCTTTCCACTTCAAGCAAAAGGCAGTGGGGAAAGCCTTGAGGTAGCAGCAGCCTTGTGGTGCAGGTGCATCTCTGTCGCTGCTGTGCAAGACCGAGACTGGGCTGCTGAGGGCCGTTTCTTCACCGAGTAGGATAACAGCTCTTCATGGAGGTCCTCAGAGATGGTGGTGTCACAGGAGGGTTTCATCATCAGCTTATGCTCAACAGCTTGTGTAGCCAGCTGTGGATGGAGAGCAGCTGCCTGATCCTGGGCACGAGGAGGATGCCCCAGGTAAGTTCAGATCTGGACTACCTCATTTCTAGCAGCAATGCTTCGGCTTTATTTTTAAAGACACCTTATTCTGTGTATAGCTGCAGCATAGCACTTGAGCTTGACCAGAGAAAACAGGGAACAAATTGCAGGTTTCCAACATTTTATTTATATATACATACACACACACATAGTAAACAAAGTCATTAAATGTGTAACACATACTTGAAACCTGTAATTAGAATACGTCAATAAATGATTTAAATTCTTCTCACCAGTCCATTTGACTTACTGCGTACACGCGCTGCCTGTTGCTTTTATTTCAGGTGAGGATTTCTCCTTTCCTGAGCTGAGCCATGAAGGCAGGCTGGCACTGGCTGAGCTGCTGGCCCTGCTGCAGCCATGGCCATTGGTACCCATGTGAGCTGTAGCACTGGTGTCACTGGGGACAATGCGACTTGGTGCTGGGGCTGCAGTGAGGAATACCGCCCGTGGGCTGGCGGGCATTAAGCTTGGCACCAGGGGACGCAGATGTCCCCGTGCTGTACAGCTAACCTGCTGCACACAGCTGGAGGAGCAAGGGCTGCAGCCAAGGTCCCGTTGGGGCTGGGATGCTGAGGTCTGACCCGGGCATTAACTTCTTGCTCTTCCTGGGCAAGCGATGGAATGATGGTTAGCATGTCTCTGATTCCTGGGTGGGGGGGACCAAGCCAGGCTGAGCCGCTTGGGAACAGGCAGGCGGACAGGGGCCTGAGGCAACCCAGGCTGCATGAAGGCGTCGGAGTAATTAATTAATGAACCTCTGCAAAAGCCAGGCCATGCAGCCCTGACATTCCTGATCTGTCCTGAGTTCTACCTGAGCGTGCTGGTGGATGAGGAGCTGCTGTGTTGTACAGTGAGGTGTGACTTGCAGTGCTGGAAAGGTTGGTGAGTTGGGGTTTTTTTTGTCACTTAGAGGAGTCACGTGTGCCTTGCTGGACTGGCTGTTCTGAAACACTGAAATTAGTAAAGTGCAAAAAAATCGGGCCAGGCTTACATCACCCTGACCACCTACCTTGTGAAAGAGCTGCGGTTTATTTTGACCTTATCCAAAGTAAGATTCCCTTCATAAGAAATAATGGGTGTCAAAAAAGTTGTTGGGAAGACGGAGAGCAGATTGCACTCGAGTTCAGGGTGGTAGTTGGTAGTGTCTGTAACCGGGGGCAGGTACGCAGCAGCTTTGTCGGTGACGGAGTTGGCGATGTACTCGGAAATGGTCTGCGTGTGCTCCGTCACCTCCACCACTATCCTCTTGTAGAGGTCGGGAAGCTGCTGCTCGTAAAGAGGAGCTTTCCCTGCAGGGCCAGGGGCTCGGTCCCCACGAAGGCTTCCTCTACTTCCATTGTTTCGGGCTCTTCAAAGCTGCTGGCGCTGTGCAGGAACAGGCTGGAGGGCAAGCTCAGCTCGGTCTGTGGAGGGACAGACGCCACGCAGCGATAACTAATTCTGTGATCGATACCCTGTGTCCTCCCACCCCAATGCAAGCATCCCTCCGCACAGCAGCTAATACTGCTAAAAAGGAAAGATGTCTGCATCGTTCTTGAATTTAATTTGCCTGATCCATCCTACAGTCTAACAGGGTATGAGAACAGAGCTTATCCGCTGTCGGAGATTGCGGGATTTACTGCATTAAGAGATTACTGACTTCCATGGCTCCAGTTGCTTTTTTTTTCTGAAGGTGGTGGGATTAGAAGAAAAAAAAAAAGTACAGTTTACCTTTGTGGACATGTAGTTCTTGGCCCACGTGGCATTAGCTGGGTCAGGGATGGCTTTGCTCTGCCACTGCGGCAGAAGTGCAGAGAGGAGCGAGTGCAATCTGCAGATTGAATAAGGGCAATTAAGAGCATGAACGCTGATACCTGCAGTGCTGACCCGGGGCATGCTGTTTGTGTGTGCGGCTACCGAAGATCTCAGTGTAATGGTGAATCTGCCTTGGTAGGGGCCTGCAGAGACCCCGGCGGGGTGGGGAGTGTGGCTGCCGGGGCAGTGCCAGCTCTCGAGCAGAGGTAAATGCTGCCCAGTGTCCTCCTGCCAGATGTTTGCCTGTGGTGACCAGCAGCAGCCCTGTGTGCAGAGCTCGCTGGATACGGCCGTGAGCCCCAGTCCTGGAAAATCTGGCTGGGGACACACCTGTGTTGCTCTAAAGTAAAACTTCGCTCCCAGGTTAATTGCCAAGGATTGTACCCCTTCAGTATTGTTTGGTGGAAGCAAACCTTATGCTCTAGGTTAAAAATTCACAATAAGTGTGAAATAATGCTATATTTTAAGCTCAATGGGTGTTCCTATTATCATTTGTGTACTCTGAAACCTTTGTTCAGAACAATCATCACTGTTCCCCAAGGTGTCCTGAAAGGATGTGACCATCCCTTCTAAGAACAATTCCGTGTTTTATTGGAACGTAACAGATGGATCCACTCACGCTTTTCTTGCTGGTGGCACAGAACAAATGCAGGCTGAGAAGATGAAGAAGCTGCAGGTAAGCACAACAGTCATCCAGTCCCCAGCGCCTGAAATACAGAACACCCATCGTTCATCTTTATTAAATAGATAAACAATTTCAGATATGCTAGTTCAAGCTGGACAACAGTTGTGGTCGGAGTTGTGTTTGCACTCATGAAACATACCAGTGCTTTTTTGGTTCAAAACCAGGAATCTGGGCGGACTGTTGGGGACAACAGTACTTTGTAACATAAAGATGTCTACCACTGTCTCTCAAGATACACAATCCACAACCCAAAACATGCAATTGCTGATCTCTCTTCCAGTTCTGAACCAAACAGCGACAGAAGACTTAAACTCAGGGTGGTGCATGCAGCAGAGAAGTGGTTTAAGTAGGAAAGATCTTGCAAAATTCAGTGCATCTTTAATAAACTGTCAGTGACTGAACTGTTTCTCAGTGCAAGCACAGGGAAGCCAAGGTGTTCACTATCTGCTTAAAACGTAATTTTTCCAAATCCAGGTTTTATAGCAGGAAAACTTTTAACTTGCCTGGATTGCTTTAATTTCCTCTCCTCCTCACCTCCCTGGATTTCTCCTGCAGCCTGTGGGAGAAACCTGTCTCCAGAAGAGCCCTGCTCCCACGCTGCAGAGGTGGATTTCCTAATGTACGCGACTTGGGAGCTTAAAGTTACTGGTGTGGCACATTGTTGGGGAGGAAATGTGGCAAAAGGAAACTTTCTGGCAATACTTAAACACAAATTTTATCAACTCTTTTCTTGGAGTTTGGTGATCATTTATCTTGATCAAATTTGGTCAAAACCCAATCCATCTTGCAGGACAGAAACCCTGATTACTGCTGTTGGCTGTGGTGAGAAGGTCCTGCTCTTGCATGCCCTGGGAGGCATGGGAACAGGGACCACGCACACGATGCTGTGCTCCTCGTGAAGGCTCTGAGGTCACGGCTGCTTTGGTGACCGCAGGTCCTCAGAGAGCCAGCGACCCACGGGTGATGTGGAGGTCAGCAGGACTTTCTGCATGGATACCAGGGCCAGAGCTTGTGCACAGATATCAACAAAATCAACAGGCCATTAACTCGAAGGGACCAAACCCTTCTTTCCCCCTTCATGATAAACCACCCTGCTGGCTTTCAACTACTATTAAATGATACAGCTAATGTCTCAGCACAAAACTGGGAGCTTGAAAACAGAAGATGCTACATTGCTAGCCAAAACTAGAGATCTTCAGTAGTTAGAGTAGTGCGAAAAGCATTCCCAGTCTGTGGAAAACAGGACCAAGGGCTGGGACCAGTCTTGGCCCCCTGTCCTGGCAGAGGCTCGTACTTTCCAAGCAGACGAGCTCGCTGTTGCGCCACGGCCCCTCTCCAGCAGCCGTCGATGCTGTCATCCACAGGGCGTAGTGCTCACCGGGCTGCAGGTCGGCGATGTACAGCGAGCGCTGGGCAGTCGCGTTGGAAATGGCTGGAAGGAGAAGGGGGAGAGGCAAACGAAGCGCCTAGCACACGTGTTTGTGACATTTAACTTCAATGAACTGGGTTTCCAGTGCTTGGAGCGTGGAGAGTTGTTTGTTACCTTTAATTTCCTTTTCTGTGTTGGTGAATCACTGGAAGGGCTATAGAAGACCTTGTGCTGTAGGGGTGACCTGTGCCTGTGCCATTGTATAGATGGGACACCCAGGACTGCATATCCTGTCCTCTGACTGCTGTTGCTTGATAAGATAATGTTTCATAATGATCCATTAAAAATGATCATGCAACTTCTGCATGAAGGGAAAAAAAAAATTGTCTTGGGAGGAAGCCTGGGGGTTAGGCAGACGGAGAGAGAGCGGCCTTGGGTGG